TAGGAGTTTAATTCGGGCCTTGACTTAGGAGTTTAATTCGTTCGGAGACCGAGCTCGTTAACTCAAATTACTCTATCAACTCAATGCAAAAAATCGGCCGAGAGACAGTTGGTATCTCAAAAAACTCGTTAGTCGGGACACTCGTAAGTTAAGGCCCCACTGTCTATATATATATACACACACACACATACATACATACACTGAGTGGCCAGATTATTATGATCGACCAGATTATTATGACCACCCCATCAGTACTTCATTGACACTTCCAAAAATACTGAATATTGAAAACTTCCTAAGCAAATACTCTCAAGGTTTTATTATTATTATTATTTACATAACTAATTCACTTCATTGTACTGATGAGGTGGTCATAATAATCTGGCCACTCAGTGTGTGTGTGTGTGTGTGTGTGTGTGTGTGAGTGTGTGTGTGTATTTCAAACTGAAATTAGTTAACAGACTGACAAAAAATACACAAAAGATTCTATATTAACTTCATGGATTCTTACCCATTTGTTACTAGTAAGTAAAAATTTTATACATAAAATGTCAACACATATATAGATGTTGCTCTGATTGTTTAAAATACTTGGCCAAAGCAAGGCTCAGTTTCTTCACATGTAAACTGTGAGGGAATAAAAGCATCTTCCCCAAATGGGGTTTCAGTGAGTATTAAAGAAGGCAAAGAATGTAAAGTGCTCAACATGGCCCGTTTTGAAATAAGTAATAAATACAGAAAGGAAACGGGCCACAATGTGAACAGTGATGATCCATGAATGGTAGCATTGGGGGTAATGTTATTTTCTTCTTTGTACTTTTCAGTGTTTTCTAAATTTCTCACAATGGACATGCCTTGCATTTAAAAGAACAAAATAATATTTTTCTTTTTTTTGTGATGTCATATAATTTTTGTTATAAAGAGTGTAATATTTTTCCTTTAACAAATATCTTTGATTGAAATGTTCTCCTTACTGGGTAATTCTAACTTTGTAGGATCCTTATAGTCCCTCATTTTAAAGCAAAACCCATCTTTTCACCCACTTCCTAACCTGAGATCCATGCTGATCACTGCCATTGTTCACCATGGACACAGTGCCTTTCTTCTTGTGCTTAATTCTTGGTACTTTTTCTGCATCAAAAAACCTTGCTTGATCACCATACAGTTGACTGAAAATACATACAATAAGGTAATAAAATATAAGTATTCTCAACACAAAATATAGAAGTACTAGTAACATATAGGGTTGCCATTTCTTTATAGAAATATCGGTATGATTCAAAATATTCCTCACTTCCAGTGGTCGCCAACCGGTGGTCCATGAGGTCCAAAAGGTTGGCGACCGCTGCAGGAACTTGGAAAAAATCTAATTTGAACCATATTTTAAAATGCAGACTGAAATATGTTAGTTAAATAATGTAAAGAGGCAATTCTATTTTACTCATTTAAAAATAAAAGAACTTACCCAAAAACAGACTCTCCTCCACGGCCAGTCCCTGTAGGATCACCAGTTTGGATGATAAAGTCTCTCTATAATATATAGGATACTTTATTAATTCACATAATTTGCTAGATGGTTCCAATAACAAAGAACATGACTAATATCCAGCAACTCACCTGTACATTGTGAATAAGGCAATAATTGTAATATTTTATCTTGCACAACTTCAGGAAATTCAAACAGGCTGAAAGAAAAAAAATAGTAAATTTATCACAGTAGTTCAAATACATTTTAAGCAAGTAAAAGCACAGTTAGTATAATTTAATTTCTAAATTACTATACAAAACCTCTCCCAAATGGTCAAATATTCAAAGCCACAAAAAAAAAAGAGGCAGTGAGCTTAAAAAAGAGCAATATATTTTAAACTATTTTTTAATTCTTTTTCTTAGGGTTTCTTGGGCATGTGAGCTAATGCAGAAAACTGACAATTCTGAGATAAGCAATCATTTATTAATTGATTTTATAAGAGAAAAAAAGAAAAATTAGTTATAATACTGGCCATATCTGAAAATACCATTTCTGCCACTTAAATAGTAAAATATAGGCTAAAAAAACGCCACAAGAGTTCAAGAGAGGGATTGTTTCTGGCTAGAGCAATTAGAAGACCTCGTAGAGACTTTTAAAAAAACTGTATTGGCAGAGAACAGAGAATGTACAACATGTACAATGTTACATTCTATACAATAAAACCCTAATATGCAAATAGACTGAACAGCAGAATGACCAGTCAAGGCGCACTGACCACCAGGGGGAAGATACTCAACGCAGGACTGGCCCCTGGTGGTCAGTGCGCTCCCACAGGGGGAGCACTGCTCAGCCAGAAGCCAGGCTCATGGCTGGCGAGCACAGCGGTGGCGGGAGCCTCACCGCCTCCGCAGCAGCAGCAGCAGCAGCAGCAGCAGCAGCAGCGCTAAGGACCCCTCGGGGGTCCTAGACTGTGAGAGGGTGCAGGCCGGACTGAGGGACTCCCCCCAGTTCATGAATGTCAAGCACTGGGCCTCTAGTGGTACAAATAAATATACAAAAGATGTACGACTCTAGTAGGAAATAATGACAATTAGGGGATGCTGTACATGTGTGGGAGTAGGGGGTATATTGGACATCTCTGCTATAAAGCTAAAACTGCTCTAAAAAAAGTAAAGTCTTAATTTTTAAAAAGGGAGGGGGAGAACCTATATATTAAAAGAGATTTAAGAGATATATCAACCAATATAATACTATATGGTCATTGTTTGGAACCGAAATTACCAAATATTTTTTAAATTCTGTATTGTTTAAAGTATTACATACAGTATTACATGTGTCTCCCCCCAGTGACCTCTCCCAGGCCACCCCCACCCCCCAGCACATGCCCTCACCCCCCTGGTGTCTGTGTCCATTGGTTATGCTTATATGCATGCATACAAGTCCTTTGGTTGATCTTTTACCACCCCGCCCCCCCTTTCCCTGCCTTCCCTCTGAAGTTTGACGTCTATTCCATGCTTCTCTGTCTCTGGATCTATTTTTGTTCATCAGTTTATGTTGTTCATTATATTCCACAAATGACTGAGATCATGTGATATTACCAAATATTTTCTAAATGTTTATGACACATTGGGAAAATACAAATGATACTAAGGAAATAGTTTTTTTATAATACAAAGTAAAAAAGGAAAGAAAAAGAATGGAGAGAGGAAAAGAAGGAGGAAGAAAAATAAATCTGGATATGCTTACTATGGATTGATAAATAGTTATACATATAAACAGATAACCGATCACATGCTTACAAATACATATAAACAGAGTGGGCTTATGTTTTTAGTGTTCCAAGGTATCTTTGCAAACCCATGCTTGTCTGTTCTAATTAGGTGTTAATTAGGTGGAGTAACCCTACCTCCCCTTAGTTCCTCATAGCTCTGGGGAAAGAGGCCCACTCATTTGCCAGGTGCTGGTCCATGTGAAAAGTGGCAACCAAACTCAAAGGAAAGCAAAACCATAATAGGACAAATACAATTCCCTGTAACATCCTTTGATCTCCTGGATCCCACCATCCTTATAGCCAAGCTTACTCCAGTAACACAAGACAATCAATTACTTTCTTTCAGCCAGTTTGACTTGAATTTCTACCACTTGCACAGAAAGTCCTAATACAACACACATATATGGATAAGTCAATATAATGAACCTTCAATGTGTGCCCTCAAAGGGTCAGCTGAGCATTACACGAAGTGTTCAGGATATAGATCTAACTCTGCTTAGGGTCAATGGAGAGACAGCAGCGATCATACTTGACCCAAGATATGAACAATGAGCAGGAAGTCTGCCAGAAGGACAACAGAGGAGAGACTGTGGGGTTGAGGCAACAGGATGAGAGGCGTGGGTATACGGTTGAGTACCTGGTGGTGGGGGTGGGGAGGGGGGTGAGTGTGGGGGAGACAGGTGAGTGTGGGAGGGGTGTGTAACCGGAGGCGCTCACTGTACTGCACCGTGGCTTGTTTCACCCTCTCTGGTAGACTCTGTGCACCATGGGGGCAGGACCCTGACTGTAACAATCTCCCCGGGCCTCCAGATGGCCCTTATGCTGACACATTCTCCACACCGCTGCCTATTACCTTCCTAAAACAAGTTTGCCATGCCTCGATCCTCTTTTTAAAACCTTCGATAGCTACTCTGGTCGTCGGTAGGGCTCGCAAGCCCACTCCCGATCTCACGCATGCCGCCAGACTCGCAGTCGGCCGTCCCGTGCCACATACCATTCCTTCAAGCCACACCAGACTCCTTGCTGTTTCCAGAAAATTCCAAACGAACTCAAAGAAAACCCTCATTCCCACTCATCTTTGAAAGAGCGAGTTCAAGTGTCCTGCATTCTTTGCTTGCTTCCCTTCTCCCGGCACCCAACCTGAAAGAATCACTCTGGTTTCCATAGCAACTCACACAACCTTCCTCTACACTGAAAAGTTCAAAGGGTTCCAGCGTCGACCCCCCCCATCAACCCCCCCGTAGAAAATTACATCCTCCCGGGAAGGCGCCTACCCCAAGGCTTGGCACAATCTTGCCCAGGAGGCGATGAATGAGCATCTGCTCAGGCTCGGGGCACACCTCCGGACAGCCCTTCCGCCATCCCGGCAGGATGTCCACGCCCACTGGCCGAAGCACGCCCTTCCGGCAGTGGGCGTGGACATCCTCCACCGAGGCTTACCGCTCACACTGCAAGGAGGACCGGTTGTGCTCCGGGCCCCAGGAAAGCGCGGTAAAGCCGCTAAAACTTCGGGGGCCCTGGGTATGCCCCCCTGGATATGCCACACACACACGCACTGGAAGACCACAAGCACCCGCCCCCCACTGGCCAGCACCAGACCGGGGAGAAGGGCTGCGCCCCATGAAAACTTCTCTAGCCGAGGCCCGCTCATCGGAGCCGGGTCGCGGGCACGGGGACCGGGCGGCACGGGGAGAAAGGACGTGGCCGCCCGGCGAGAGGTGCGCGGGGCGGGCCTTACCGCGCGGCCGCTCCTCCGTGTACAGGTCGATGACCACGTCGCCCAGGGTGGTCTCCAGCAGAACCGCCATGGAGCCCGCTCCTCCTCCGCAGCCAGCCCCGCGGTGACAGGCGCAGTCCGCGTCGTCCAGGCCTCGCGTCACCCCCGGCGCGACGCCTTATGACGCCATCCCTTCGGCGACACCGCCCCTTCCGGCTGCACTAGCGGCGGCCCCTCCCGTGGATCCCGCCCCCGGCGCGGCCCTTTTTGAAAAATCTTGGTGCGCCCTGGGCTGGGGCGGAATCCCGTCCCAAAAGGGCCTCTGTAGAGGATTCGGTGTCCTGTTTGTGTCCGTCTCAAGGACGGGGCGAGCCCTTGCCGGTTCGGCTCACTGGATAGAGCGTTGGCCTGGGGACTGAAGGGTCCCGGGTTCGATTCCGCTCAGGGGCACATGCCCGGGTTGGGAGCTTAATCCCCAGTGCGGGGTGTGCATGGGGCAGCTAATCAATGATTCTCTCTCATCATTGATGTTTTTCTCTATCCCTCTCTCTTCCTCTCTGAAATCAATAAAAATATATTAAAAAGAAAAAAAAGTAGAACCGGGCAGGCCTCTGAGCGACCTGTTCCTGCCCCTCAGGCCGCCTCAGTCGTAGCCGAGGGCCACCGCGGTGCCACCCACTTGGGCGGGGGACAACACGAAGGCTTCAGCCCCAAATCTCTACTGATTTTGTCCATAATCTTTAACTTAGAAGACATACAAATTACTTTTTGAAAGATCAGACAGAGGCCGAAAACCAGGACTACAGGCTTTATTAGAGGAGAAGGACCTGCCTGCTGTCTCGCAAGGGGAGGACAGCAACTCGTGCAGGGTGGGCGCTCCTTTTGAGGGGCGGAATGGGAAGGAATGGGGGCTTTGCGTACTAGGGGCCCGCTGATGGGTGGCTTACTGTATGGTCCATATAGGAACAAGGACTTAGGGCAGTGGTTCTCAACCTTTCTAATGCCGCGACCCTATAATACAGTTCCTCATGTTGTGGTGACCCCCAACCATAAAATTATTTTCGTTGCTACTTCATAACTGTAATTTTGCTACTGTTATGAATCGTAGTGTAAATATTTGATATGCAGGATGTATTTTCATTGTTACAAATTGAACTAATTAAAGTGTTAACGTAAAAAAACCATTGAAACCTGTAAGGAATTTTTGTGAGTTTATTTGAGCCAAACTGTCGACATATGCCGGGAAGCAGAACCTCAATGAATTGAGATAGTGCTCCGGAGAATGACAGGGTTACATCCGTATTTATACATGAAATTCATTGGTGACAGATTTAAGGAGGTGGGATTAAGCGAAACGGGGAAACCTCTGTGATAGGATAAAAGTAAAATGATGGATACATGCTTCTTTTACCCAGGTAGATGTAAGACAGTTAACAGTCAACAATTTGCATGATAACAATGAAGGAATTTGTAGTATTTGTCCTGGCGCAGGGAACATTTGGTTGTGCCCCAGGGGTTCCAGGAAAAAGGGAAGTTACAAGTTACCCAGACATTTCAAAGGGTATGTTATCTTAGAGGCAAAAAAGGCAAATGGGCTCAGTAAGGATCAAAGTTGATCTTATCAGTGAAGATACCGGCCTAGGAGGTGACTGCCCACCATAACTGCTTCTAGTCAAGTTTAATTTCAGACCATCCTTTGTGGTTATTCCAAGTCTCTGGGTCTGCCAGGCTGCCATGCAGGCCTTCCCTGAGCTTGTCAGGTCAGCATGTGGCCCCTTTCGTCCACAAAAGCATAGTGATTAATCACAAAAACAATATGTAATTATATATGTGTTTTCCGATGGTCTTAGGCGACCCCTGTGAAAGGGTCGTTGGACCCCCAAAGGGGTCGCGACCCACAGGTTGAGAACCACTGGCTTAGGGTATTTGGCAGGTGTGGATTGGTGGTCCAATGTATAGTCCATATAAGGTGCCTGGTTAGTCACTCAGGTATTTCCCGGCTGCCGGTTACATCATACTCCGCCCACCAGTTGGGGGAAAGGGAGGATCTATCACTTTTGGCCTCGGTAGAGAGTTTCTATGCAAAGCTTATTCCCCAAACTCTGCTGGACAAGCTGATCACTCTCATTTATGCCATTGTTTACATACTTCTAACCTCCAATAACTTCATGTCTGACAATGGCACTGATGCCAATATGCTGGTGCGCATGCAGCTTGCTGTACTGCAAGAAATGATTGTTTGGCTCTGACCCAGGGGTCTCATATCTCACACCAGCACCCATGAAACTGGCAAGCTAACTTGTTAATTTGAAAATAGGGCAAAATCTCAGACTTCTCATGGTTTCTGACAATTACTTCCTAAATTCCTGTCTACATATTTATTAACGTCTTACTTATAGCGTTTTTCTCAGACACTAATTTACAATCTGCTTTTTAACAACCTTGGGTACAGATGTCTTCTTGCTTTTAGAAACTCGGTGGCCTGGAAAACCCCAGAGACAGTAATTTTTAAAATTGCCCCAGGCAATTCCCCCATGTACAGCTAAGGGTGAGAACTGCCGACTTGATAACATTTCCCCGTTCAACGTGATATATCTTCTTTTTAGTATATAATAGTGTTCTGACATACGGCAGTTATTTTCACTTTATAGACAGAGGTAAATATATATACACACGGAGATGTAGCTATGTGCATAGATAGACAGTATAATACTAATTTTAAAATAATGGCAACGAAAATGCTTACACTTGAGTAGGAGGAGAAATCCTCCAATCCAGAGCGCCCGTCTAATGACGCCAGAGGACCGTCTCTGACTTGACTCCGCCCCTCGACATTGTGCGGCGCCGCGCATGCGTGGTCCGCTCTTCCCGAGCCGTCGGAGTCGCTCCTCTACCTTGCCCCGCCCCAAGCCCCGCCCCCAGAGCGGGTCCGCCCCGCCCCGGCCCCGCCCCGCCCAGCCCTCCTCGCACCTCGCCGGCCGTCGTTGGCCAGTCTAAAATGGAGGGCGCTCTGCTGGCGCCACTCGCACTCCGTCTGCTCTTGCTCGCGACGTTGCCGGCCGCAGGGTGGCTGCAGACGGGAATCCCTGAGCCGCCGCCGCCCGGAGCTCCGAAGGTAGGACAGGGCGGGCGCAGTGTGGCCGCTCCGCCGCCTGGACCTTCCGGGGAGGCCAGGGCCGGGGGACCGCGGCGTCCGCCAAGACCTATTCCGCCTCAGGCCGCCTGGCCGTGGACTGCGGTCCGCGCGCCCAAAGGAGGAATCGGGGAGAATCACCCCAGGAAATGGGGGGGGGCTGGGGAGGGGGTAATGGGAGAGCGAACGGGGCTCTTGGATGTGTGGTTAAGCCTCGCGACGCGAAGCTTCGGATCTCACGCAGTCTGAATTGTTGCCATCCCGATGGGGTTTCGCTCGAAAATGTACGCGATCGCGAGTGACCCCAGCCTTGGTCATGGCTGCTCCCTGAGTAGAGCCGGGCCTGGGACCGGGCAGCGTCTCTGTGCTCGGGAAATGTGGAAGTTGCTCAATCGGAGCGCGAGCCAGGGCGATTCCAGGTACTGTTTACCCGGCGGCGGCGGGGTCGCCTCCCCGCCCCCCCCCCTCCCCTCCCCCGCCCCCCCCCCTCCCCTCCGCGTGCGGGGCTCGGGCTGCGCGCCGGGGCCGCCGAAGGAGAGATGGAGGCCCACGAAGTAGCCTGGCGCGTCCGTTTGGCCGATGATGTTAGCGAAGTGGTTTTTGGTGGGACCAGCAGCACCGACATCCCCTAGGGACCCAGTGGAGAGGCACTAATCAGACGCTGTGGGGTGGGGCCCACATCTGTTTGAGTGGGTGATTCGCAGGTCAGCTGAAGTGTGAGAACCACCGCATCCTTGTGTTAAAGGGTGTTTGGTCCCCACCGTTGTTGTTGTTGTTGTTTGGTGTGTGTGTGTTTTGAGTCGTGCGTGTGTGTGTGTGTGTGTGTGTGTGTGTGTCTGTGTGTGTCTGTGTCTGTGTGTTTGCCCTAGAGTCGTGCTGACCTAAACCAGTATTTGCCTTTCATCACTTGAATGTAGGCTAGGAAAAGCTTTTCCCAGAATGGAAAGATACATTACAGGTACACCTTTTCTTACTAGGCAGGATCTGAACACTCTGAATTCAGAGACAGCTGACACTATAAATGTCACTTTCTCACTTTCCATTAATTTTTTTGAGTTATGATATTACTCTCCCGGGTACAGACATAACAAACATATCTCACTTTCAGTTCTGCAGAGGCATTCAAAAAAGCCACAACAGCGCAAGCCCTAAGAACCCCTTACAACTGGAAGTATACGTGGACCACAGTTGCAGCTGGTCAAAAATATGAATGTGGTGGGCAATCACCAAGACAATAAATAAAAGGGAAATAATTTCTGAAGTTCAAATAGGACATTGTTGTCCCCCTTTCCAAATTTTAAAGATTCATTATAGTCACTTTGAACCCAAAAGACATTTGAGTCTGTCGGTATAATCGGAGAAAAATGCGTTTTGACTGCAAGCTGAAAATACTCCAGACTGTGGTCTCCTAGTTCATCATTTCAGTTCTCCTTACTACCCCTTCATTCCAGTTTGGAAAGTTCAGATCTAAACTTAGAATTTCGTAGATGAAATGAGTGTGGAATCGCTAGAAGGAGAATCTCATTCTGTGGAAATGTTTATATGGGAAGCTGACACCTGTTGACCTAAACATTTTCATTGTTTTATTGTCTGGGAATCAAACCTTCCACCCTTTGGTCCGCAGGCCGACGTTCTAACCACTGAGGAAAACTGGCCGGGGCTTCAATGTTTTATTGTAAAAAATTTCAAATGTGCAAAACATCTGAAAAATTTTACAGTGGTCACCCATATTACCTAGTACAATGATGGTGTATGGTCTGCTCTCTCCATGACAGTAGCCATTGGACTACTGTGGCTATTGAGTATTTGAAATGTGGCCAATGAGACCGAGAAACCAAGTTTTAAAATTTTTATTTAACTAGTTTTGGTTAATTTAAATGAAGAAAGCCACATATGGTGAATGGGTGCCGTATTGAATAGTATAAACGTAGACACCATTAAGGTTTCACTGTACTTGCGGTACCACAGATTGGCTCATCTCTTCATTTTTGTGTCCACCCTGCTCTAAATGTAAGAACATTTGTTGGGAGGTGGGAGTGGGCAGGGAGAGGTTAATGGGGGGAAAGGGGATATATGTAATAGTTTCAACAATAAAGAATTTTTTAAAATTAAGATAAAAGAAAATTTGTTTAAGTCAGGAATATTTTCCCTATTTCCCCTCAGTGATTCAGATTTACTGGATTATAAACTTTTTGTTTTGTTTATATATGGAGTTGTCAGAAGTTGAGGCTAGATTATAAAACTAATAACATTTTTATAGTA